CTCATTTGCAACCTGGCCACGCCAATCAAGCCCAGATCAGGCTCTCAGTGGCTCTGTTTGTCAGCACTTGTCCACATGCCAAGAGACAATGCCTGGCAAGTGCTGTATGAACCTTTCACTTTCGATTTATAGCAAAGACAAAGCCACACACAGGGCCTACATAGGATGGCAAGAGGGCAGAGATGTGGTCCCTGTCCCAGAGTCGCTCATACCACCATTACCATCTAGGTTTTATATTTGCAAGACACTTAGTGCTGCTCCTTCCCCTCTCACAGCCAGTCCATCAGCTTTTCATCAGCAACATCCGACTGACAGTACAAGGACCTCTACCTTCAATCCATCAAATCACAGTGAGTGCTGGTCTGTCCATGCTACAACTGATTGTTTAAGGCTGGACAAACCATGAGAGTAAAACAACACAACCAGTCAGCGAGACCATCATCAACCTGAGATCCCATGAGAATTTGGGGCACTTTCTACAGGGCCACAGGAGGCCTGGTTCAGCCACCTCTCTTTTAAAAACAGGCAATGGATGGTTACAACATTAAGAACAATGACTAACAGAGGCGTCAACCTGCAACGCTGCCTCAGGAAGCTGGGTGTCCCAGTTTGCACTTGCCTTAATGGGAATTGGGTGTCCAGGTCTCTCGTGTGCTTTGAAAAGGTTTAGCCCGTCTGGCCACACCTGCTTCAGCTCAGAAAGAAAGCAGAGGAGAACCATTTGGCTTGGAGATTCAGTGCACAAGCCAAATTAATGATTGCGCCAAAGACAAGAGCTGGATTCAGAGACAGCCTGCCTGAGCCCCCTGCGGCCAGCTCAGCACTGGATCTAAACACACAGGCCCTGTTCAAAAGGGGGCTAAGATACTATTAGTCCAACCATTAAATACAGTTCAGCTTTGCTATCTATGGGCCACTTAAAGCAGCACCTGAACCTTTTCCTGTGCATTAGGATACTTCCAAAATATTCTGACCAGCAACCAAGCTCCAGCTTGCCGGAGAAACTAAATCTGTGTAAGGGCAGGCTTATAAGCCAAGAACCAGAGGCAATCTCGGTCTTGCGTTTGAGGCTAGGGGGTTTTGGAAGGAGCTCTAGCCAGTCCTAAAGTTTGATGAGAGAACGGCACTTCCTTGGATGAAATACAAGCCCAGGCAGCTTGCCTGTGAAGAGATGCACTGATTAGGAATTCACTTTCAGCTTGAGTGCCTTATTTTTGCTTTCCCATCCCTCTGCTGCCTCGTTGTCTGGATGCATCCATGTGATTCTCGTTTAGGGAGAGCCTGGAGTTGCTCTCTAGTGTGCTGGTGCATGCAGGCATTTGCTTCTCTCTGTGCTCCCCATATCACTGCTGAAGACCAACAAAATTGATGGGAATTTGCTGTCTGATCTCCAGCACTCTTTTAGAAGAGGAGTACAACACCATGATGCATGGCAGAACAGCAGCTGAATGGGGTCCACACTATGACAAAAAGGAGGATACCAAGAAAAGGAGGGCAGGGTTCACTGCGATTAGAATGACCCACCAGAAAGATATGGAAAAAAACCACGTGGGCTACCAGGACCAGCCAGTGAAGACACTCTAGAAGCCCTGCAGCACATGTGTAACCCCTTTGATTTGTTAAAGTGTTCTAACCAGAGACAACCATTCAAGGAAGGGAGAGGCTATGCCCCCCCAATCCCAAATACTAGTCCTCTTCAGAATAAGAGCTGCCTGCTAAGCAAGTGCAAATGTAGGACAAGAGCAGGACCACGTACGATTTCAAAAGCATCTCTTGTTCTTCAGCCCTGTCATCATATTCTGACCCCTTTACATTTTTTCTACCATTCTTAGACTCTCATTCCATTTCTTTCCCCATCCATCTCTTTTCACAGGCTGTCTGTGGCCTTTTCCCCATTTCTTCCCATCAATTCAATCCTGTCATCTTTAGAACATTTCTCTTTTGCTCACCACTCTTACTTTGCATTCTCCTCTCCAGCACATCTGGAGCTCAGCCTCTCATCATATCAAGCTGCAACCGAAGCGTCTGAAACCGGCCACTGCTGAAACACTGCTCTCAGACCTGCAGTGAAAGCTAAAAGCTGCCTGTGTTTCACATGCCCTTCCTCTGCAGCACTGCAGCTGGCACAGGCAGTCTCATGAGCACGGAGGAACGCGATGCTGCCTGTCAGCACATTACTCCCCCAGATTGCTGCAGTCGGATCTACAGCATGCAGCAGTGACACAGGTATCCCCAACCCTTCACAGTACTATCACCAACTTCGGATCACCCTAATTCTCTACCCTGCAAGGCCCCTATGGCAGCAAACTACCACTCTCACAAGGGACAGCACTTCAAGTAACAGGACAGAACAGGTTTTTACTCCCCCATTGTAAGTACAGGTGCAATTTAATTAATGTTTTTCTTCTAATGGGCTGACCCAAAACTGGTTCTAATGAACTAGTCATGGAAGAATGCAAAGAGTGGGTGTTAATTTAACATACTGGTGTTTCTAAAACAGCAGCATCAACCCCCACTCCAGTTCCCCATGCCAGTGGCTGAGCCCAGGGACCCATCTCCTCCAGCCTCCTGTCTGACAGCAGCTGCCACCAAACATCTCAGGGGCAAGAGACCTGTGAAGCAAGCAGCAATGGATAATTTTTCCTTAGGGAGTCCTCCCTGCCAACCCCTGCTGTTCCACTCATTCACTATATTATAGTTTAGGTAGGATGCACGCAAGCTAACCCAACACCAGCTTTAATTTAAATTTGGGTATTTTCATACGGAGAGCAGCAGTGATGTCCTCAGTAAGCCTGAAAGGCTACAGCTTGCCAACACTGCAGCGCTGAGGAAAGGCCAGGCTGACTACATTAAGCACTCAAAATCCATCAGTGAGGTCTTTACGGTATGAGACTCTGAAAACATGTTGAAGTGTGGTTACGGTCAGACAAGTAGTAGTGTGTAGGGTTGTTTGCAAGCCCTAATGAGAGTGCCCTTACAGTTTTCAGGGTGCCCTTGACAAGCCTTTAAAAATACATTAAATTGCCTTAGTCCAGCATCTTACTTCAGATCTACCCCCTCTGTGTGCTCAGTCAGATCTGCTGACTTCAGTGGCAAACCTGAGCCGTTTCTTCTCTCCCCAAGTAGCCCAGCTCAGCTCAGGGAAAAAGGAGCTAAACAATTGATTACGTTCCTTTTGCAGGAGTATTACTGGGGGCACTGCTTGGCCTTTTAGCCACAGGCAGACAAGAGATATTTTCATGCCTTCCTGATCACATTTTTCAGCTGTATAATTGGACATAATTTTTCTTCTGGAGTGCAGGGTCAATCAAACCCTTTTCTTTTAAATCCCCAAACAACTGGCCTCTTGTTGTCAAACTTTCCAGCAATGCAAGTCCGCTGTGGTGCTTCCATATCATCTCAAGAAACTAGATGCAGCTTTTTCACCTTTCTTTTTTTGCAGGTTTTTTTTGCACACAAATTCCCTTCCTCTCTCGTGGCAAGGGTGTTTTTCCCTATTTTGTCAAACATATAAAAAAACATACATTTGCTTTTTCTTCTGTTTATTCATTAGTGCATTCGTGGTAGTGCTTGCTTATGTCTGAGAACACAGGTGCATAGTACCAACATGTAAAGGAAACATGCCTTAATTATCTGCAACACAAGTGGGGGGGAAATCACTTGGCAGTTTGCAACAGTATTGTTAAGAGTTCTCTGAAACATGCTAAAAAGGGACAGTAATTTAATTTACAACCTTCCCTCCCTGCCCCAAGCCTCCTATCGTTACAAATAAGGCTCAAGATAGATATTAAAAGGGGAAGGAGGAGGAAATCTTGGTTTACTTTGGGCCCTGGATAGCCGTCACATGTATTCAGTTTCACAGATTCCCCTGGGGAACATGGGTCTTCCAGCAAGGCAGGACAGAAACTTCGTTTTTAAAGTAGGAAGATGCAATGGGAAAATGACAAAAATATCGGCAGGGCACAGGTGTAAAACCTGGAACAACTCGGGCAAAAAAAAAAATTAATTTGAAGCTGATGCTTCCTTTGATAGGTCCAGCAGCTGGCAATAAGATATGAAGTTCTAGATCAAATGATATAATCAACCTAGATTTGGGACTTAACTGTGCTACCATCTGTTCAGCTATCTCTGAGTCAACGCCCATGTCACAAAACCATCGCTGCTCTTGGCAATCACAGTACAGAGTGCAAGAAATGAATAGGACGTGGACACTGAACAACGTGCGTACCTGACTACCCTAAGCCATACCTTATTCTAGGGGAAAAGGATGTCCTTTTCTGGGGCTGTCGACTTAGCCCCTTCCCGCAGCACTACAGCACCAAGACTGACTACCAGAAATAAACACCTGAGCGCTAATGAGCAACAAGGCATCTGCAGAGGGTTTGGGGTTTTTTGTTTTTTAATCTTAATAACTCTTGTTATTACTTCGGCCCCCTCAGTGGAATTGCAGGTGCTTTTTGTGCACTGAAAGGTCACCCGTTTTTTTTATACCCCAGCTTTTTCATGCATCTTCCCTGGCATCTTTAAAGGACAAGAAGGAGAAAGGTTACGCTAGGAAACCCTTAGCAAGGTTTCTTTAAGAAAAAAAAAAAAGAGGAAAAGAAAAAAAAAGGGGGGGAAAGGAAGCCCATGAATAATTTTCAGCATGGTGCTCTTCCATGAAACATTTAGCTTTGCTGCACAAGGGTTAGTGCACAGAACCAGAGAGTGAAACGACTAGTCTCCCCCACCGAGTGAAGCACAACAGCCAAAATGATGATGAGGCACTTTGACTTTTAAAATGTTCTTCAGCTGATCTGTGTTATTACTTGCAGCACAGGCAAGGAATTGACATTTAAAAAAAATCAGTGCTGTTTCTTTAAAGAGTAAATAGAATATTTAACATTTATTATCAGAGCGTGATCTTGAGTAGGAGGAATTTTCTTCTTTTGAGAAAAGCACCATTGTAACAGAGCAGTAAAGGCTGAAATTAATATGAACAGAAAAGATGCCTGGGTCACCTTAATCCAGAGGAGAGAGATTTTCCAAGAAGTCACTGCCCCTGAAAGTTAAAGGATTTGCAGGGTATCAGACACTTGAACACTTTCACATGCCTAAGGCTACCCAGTAATTCAGGATAATAGATTTCTAAAAGCACTAGGATGTTATTGTTTTAGGTTTTCTAAAGACTGCAAATCAGGAGTTGGAGAGTTTTAAATTGACTTGCTGTACATCTGAAGTAATTCTAGGCATATCATTGCTTATTAGCCTGCAGAAAAACTTTAAAAAAAAGATTTACCATATGGCATAAGACAGGATGCAGTTATCCCACGTATCTGTGTATTGAAGACTGATCACAAACTCTTCTTGGAAGCGCTCCACTGGAATCAGAGACAAGCAGAGGAAGATAACTTTGCTGGGGAGGGAAAAAGAGCATCTTTATGTTGCCTCTGTGGCAGGAGCTGCACATTTCTCCTGCCAACAGCCACCACACGGCTATATTCATCCAAAACCAGTTAATTTCCACCAGCAGTTGTGGGGGAGTGCCCTGCTCTGGTAAAAGGGAGATGAACACAGGACAACGAGGACAGGGTCAGAGATTCAGGAAAATATTGCAACCAAATGCTTTGTGGAGTAGGCGGGTGTCAGAGTGGGTCTGTAGAAATAATCAGCATTCCTCCAAACCTCACTAGAGCGGCCTTTGCAGCCAGTCTACAGAAGATATTTTTTTAAATACTGGAATGATGCATCCTAGAGAATGAAAGGTTACGCACTGATGAGAGCAACTGGGAAACTACTCCTCCATCTACCGGAGAAGAGACAGCATTACCCAGCGTTTCACAGGCAAACACCGGGACAATGTCTTTTCCAGGCTGACTAGCAGAAAGAGGGGCATTTGGGGCGTACTCCAAAACGCACCTCTTGAAATATCGTTTTCATTTTGACCTGATGCTGCTAGAAATACACAGTCCAGCTTTTGTTACAAGAGCGGACGTGACGGACTGACACTTGCTTTCTCTAATGTTTACAGGACGAGCAGATTCCACGGAGTATCCAACGTAACGCGCCTGCTCGCTCTGCCACGGCACCGGAAAGCTCTTCTCTTTTGGGAAGCAGCACTCCTGCTTCGAAAGAGCAATGCCTTGGAACAAAGACCAAGTACGGGCAACAAAAGGAAGGCCTGGTGTTTTAAGAGGGGGAGTGAGTCACGTTGGGTGGAAATTTCCCCCACTCCGACAGGCACTGATGCACCGTACAGGTCCTCCAGGGCCATGGAAGGGGTAATTCCCTTTTGCAATCAAGAAGGAACAGAGAGACAGGATCTATTTAAAGTAGCTGTCAGTCAGTGGCAGCGCAGGGAAGAGAAGCCAGTTTTTCCTTGCTACCTCTCCCATACAAACTGTAGGTTATGCTCCTCATTCAAATCTTTCAGTGCTTCAGGCAGGCTGCCGCAATTCACTGTGAAGTGGACTCCACTTTGTTTATATATTTTTTAAACACCCAGCTGCCTTTGCCTCTGAATCACACGCTCAAATAAAAGCTCTAGCAAAATAGACAACTCTAACTTACAACAGGGATAGCCGCACACATGCTCATAATGAATCCTGTAGACCTATAACTAATCCTTCAAAGGGATTCAGATGAAACATCCAACAACTGGACTCCATGGGACTGAGTTCAGGGCCTGTTGCAGCATTGGAGCTCAGGAGGAGCTGCTGGATACTCACTTTTTTTTTTTTAATTTCCCTAAATTAGACACATATGGACTTTGGAGCCTGACACTGATGACAGGACAGTCTCTCGCTTTGTTAGGCAGCGAGACGCTCCAAACTGGTCCTCAGGAAGGATGCTTGCAAGCAGTTAGAAAGCTACGGGAAGCAGCTGTGGGAGCTAAGCAGCATCCCGGACATCAGCATGGCCCCATGAGAGTGCCAATCTTCCAAGGCAAACAGCTCTTGCCCCAACCCTGGGCACTCACTGACAACTCCAGGTTTAACAGGCTCTTCCTCTTTTCAAGGCAACTGCAGTGGGTTTCAGGCACGCATCAGAACGGCGTTGAGAGTCTCAGCCAGTAACAGGTGGCCTGGGAAACATCACAAACGCAGCTCCTGATGAGTCAAGAACCGTTTCCGCTCACCCGCACGAATCATGGTCAAGGTTTCTTTTTTTCTGTAGCTGCCACCACCACAATATGTTTGAGATAGAAAGTCCTCCCCCCACCCAGCTCTGGCATAAAGAGCTTATAATGCTTTCGGTTTACTGTTCTACATACAATCGCTTTGCAATTTAGGGCTACACAGTCAGGGCATTGCCCTACAAGCCCTACGATGGTGTAACAGCCACACTACCCATCCACAGGACCAGGCCATTTGCCATCAGTGATGGGAGGTCTCTGCCCATGCGGCTATTTTAGCAGCATTTTAGTTCACCTTTAATGCTGTCCTTTCAACCAGCACTGTTCAGAGCCCTTGACTCTCCTTTTCTAGGTTGGGGGGGGCAGCAATTACTGCTTCTGCTGCGATCTGCCAGGTTTTGTTTCATTTGTTGTTTTAATCCCGCAGTGTTGAGGCATTACAAGGCTGCTCCTCAACAGATGGAAAGCTTTCAGGCACTGCAAAGGCTCTTCTGCCCCAAAACAGCTCAGGAAGAAAAGATGAGCATTGCCACTGAATGATGTTCAGAGGCCAAGCCAGATCTTTAGTATTTGATGAGCAGCAAAGAAAAATTACTGGTTTCTAGCTGCCTTTTGTTTTTAATGGCAATCATGTTTCATAACTATGACTAGGATTTTGGCACCCTGAATTTAATAAAATTTCACGGGTGTGTGTGGGAAGCAGTAGACCACAAACACACACACCCCACTCAGGGAAACTTTACCACCCTGCCCACTGCATACTTAGCACAGCTCAGCAATAACCAAGCTGAGTGGTTTTCCAGGCTTTGCCTTGTGGAAGCTGTAGTTTGGAAGACCTCCTCTCCTGTAAGTCAACATCCATGGCCCAACTCCATCGACCATCATTTCTGTGACCCCCGTGACAAAACCTGCAGCCTATCTTCCAACAGCAAAAAAGCAAGAAATTTCCATGTAAAACAAAGGTCAAAAGAAAAGCCCCCCGCTCATGCACAGGGATAGAACAAATTCAGGGCTTCGCTGAAAACTTCCCAGTAACGGGCAGCAGCCAGGATTTCGAGAAACCCTCAGATTAAGAAGCCATACCAACATACTGTAGTGTCAGAAGATGTTGAAGTGGGGAATGCCAGGAGAAACAATAAATGATTTCAGTGGCTCTCAGGAACTAGAAGCTGCGAAGCGTGCATCTACCAGTGTACTCCATATCTCCTTCTCAAGGTTTGGCAGAAGTAAATATGGCTTCTTCATCAAAGCTGGTAGAGGGCAGCTCCGCAGGAGGACAGACACTGCCACGGCCATACACAGGGGCTCCTGGAAAGTTAGGACTTCACAACATTGCAAAAACAAGTGCAGGCCCTGCATTTCCATGTGCACCAGGTAACACCAGAAGCAGCAAAGCTACAATGCACTTACTTCCACAGCCTGTGTTTAGTGACCATGACCATGCCTATTCAAAGATCATAATCAACTATTTAGAATGGCAATCAGATTTTAATGTGCAAAGATCAAAGATACATTTTTCAGCTTCCAACAGAGCCTCCATGGTGCCTGCCAGACTCCTCAGAGAGGAAAACTGCAAAAACAATGGTTATGAGTTACCCTGCTAAACTGTCTGAGTTTTAATGCGCGCAACTGAAAAAACAAGGAGCCGCCTACTAACACATGAACACCTTGAGAAAAGGAAGCCTGACCCTGTCCTCCATAAACCAAAAGCAAGTTCATCATATTAGGGAACCAACATACTCCTGACAACCATTTTATGGAGAGAAAAGTCAGAAACTGAGTTTTCTGTTCTATTCCCATTCTCCCACAGTGCCTACCATGCGTGTCCAAGCAGCTGGGAATCCTCCCAGTCTGATCCACTAGATACAGTTATGAATATTATAAAACTAAGCTATTTGGAAGTTGCCCAAAAGGAGGGAGTTTCCAGGAACAAAGATACTGCGGTTCCCCGCCCCCCGATTCAAAGTGGAACCAAAATTTGTATTTGTTTTTCTTCCAAAGTGTTTCTCAGAGGAAGCTGTACTCAGCACCATGAGCTGCATTTAAAACACAGCAGAGAGCAAGAGAAAGCTGGATGTATTTAAAGACTCCCATCTGGACACCTAGCTTAGGCAAAAATCACACATGAAGTAAGTAGGACACCTTCAGTGCCTAATAGATAGTTGTTCCTTTCACACCTAACAGTCTGACAATTAATGTGCATTTCTGTGGCAGCCTCTGTTTTGAAATGAAATGGCAAAGATACTTGCTGTGGGTTGTACAGGGAAACATGCACCATCTCGCATAAAACTAGGCTTTGTTCTAGCCATCCAGTGGGAGGTCACTTTCTTTAGAAAGATTCATAAAACTGAAAGCACTGGAGGTTCAAGACCCAAAGCAAGAAGAATGACATAAAATGTGGATAACTGTCTGCTTCTAGAAAGGGAAAGCAAAAAAGGTTGTTTGTAAAATGCATGCAGTTGTTTTACACACACAGAAAAATCACAATTACAGAGCTACAATACCACCAGCTAGTCAATATAAAAATTGTAGCTTACAAAATACTGCCTGACAGCCAGCGGAAATAAGTATTTTTTCCAAGGACACCTCATACACTGCAATGGGTCTTTAAAATATATGCATCTGCCTTAGCCATCCACTTCATCCAGAAATGCAGACATGATTGACAGCCAACAAGGCCAGCCAGTTATTTCTTGACTAATGTGCAGCATTGCATTTATGCAACCTTTGGGAATGGACACTATGGGTGTATGTTTGACAGGCCTCAGCAGCACACTGCATTTTGGAAAGCCTTCAGAAGAATCAGATGATAGCAAATCAGAACAAGTCTTCCAAATGCACGGGGTGAAAACCTCATTTTGCCCTACAGTAGACTGTGCAAGGAAGAACACACCCAAAGTACCTATGAAGCCATAAATGAAAGACCAAATACTCATGGGGACTGTGACAAGTCAAAGTCCTAAAATGTGTGCGTTAGCAGTCTGGGGTGAGATGTGGAGAACTACAGTGCAAAGATGGAATCAGGTTGGCAGGGGGCAGGGGAGGAGAAGCAGCATGTTTTGGAATCACCAAACTTTCCAGACCCATGGGTTATTGTCAGCCCTCAAAATTTCTCCACCCTTGGGACCCCCTTGTGATCTTACCAAACCTTCACTTGCAGGTGTGACCTGCAGATTGCATTTTGGGAACCATATTTCAGTGGGTTTATGACAACTCTCTCAAAGAGAGAAACCGAAGCAGGCACAACACCGAATAGCAATAATCCAAGAAAACTAGTGCCA